CTAGGAGCTCCTAGGGGGGGGGGCAAAATTTTAACTGTAAATTCAAAACATTTGGCTTCTTGGGTATCAGGCATAAGTATAAAATACTTTAAAGTACACATAGACTCCCATTTCCTTGCATGGACTATACTTAATCTCTCCTTCAAACAAAACTGCTGCTGTATTGCTACCTGTGTCTGTATTATGTTCCAAGATGCTGTTGTATTATTACTACCTGTGTCTGTATTATGTCCCAAGCTGCTGCTGTAATATTACTACCTGTGTCTGTATTATGTCCCAAGCTGCTGCTGTATTGCTACCATTCTCGTATTTTTCACTGATAGTCTGCTCAACGTTGAAAGACACAGCTTCTCGTATTAAGGGTTCCTAAACATAAGAAATGTTTAATTCAGAAATATCTGGAAATAAAATTGTATTTACTAGCAGAGTATCCGGTGTTGCCTGTGGTATTTTATATTCGTCCAATACTCTCCAGAAAATGGCCTCTTGCGTCCGATTAACAGTTAAACTATCTATGTCCCTTCTGTCTACAGTTTGGCTGGCTATAGGTAATTATACATATTCACTGTTATACCTTCAATCCCGGCTCTTTGCTTAATAAGACTGACAAAGATTGTCAGTAATCTCTATCTGTGTCTTTATCTTTCTTCTAATTAGATATTCTTAAAAGGAATTATTCCCATTGGATTTTTTAGCACTTTTTTAGCACACACTCCGATTTGCTTGAACATTCCCTTAGAATGTATTAATTCTTACACCTTGGTTTAAACATGTGTATGTGAATAGTAAATATAGAAATAGGAGTAATTACTCTATACCCAAGATATACACTTGAACACTGAATTCTTTAAGGATTTACTGCCAGACTTTTTAAGGGTTTACGCCCCTCTAAATATTTAACGTTAAGTGAAGGTACATGTATCGTATGCGCGGCGCATCTGCTCTCATATTTGCAAAAATGCGCACTCACGCACTCTCTACAAAGTTTAAAATGAAAATTAATCTTATATGTACAATTAACAAAAATTTAATTTTGGATATTCAAAACAACAAAAATATTGCCAATTTTAAAAACAGTTAAAAAGTTAAAAACATTTTGTTAAAATATATTTATTCGGTTCTGAATTGCGTATTAAGATTATGGAAAAATAGGCATTGTTAAATAGTCTGAATATAAAAATATCTGATTATAAAAAGATGTAATCTTAACACCTTTGATGATGCCCAAAAAAGACCTGATGGTCTAATATCAGTTTACACTTTAAACACATCTGCTGCTAATAATAGGAGAGCTAACTTGATAATAAACTAAGATTAGAAAATAAAAAATGCATCAATCTGATTTCAATATCGACTCTAAACTATGCAAAAACCAAACTTCAGTCAGAAGATGCAAATGAGATTAACACTTAACGCAGCAATACAGGGTTATCCAAAAAGTATGAGTATTTAAAAATAACTATCATATCTGCAACATCGTGATCTGTAGATTGGAGGAATTTAAATTTTTGCCGCAAGCGTAAACACAAACTTATAGTGTTTATAGATATATGAATCAGATAGATCAATATATAGATATAGATAGATGATTTGGCTGAACCTGATCCTATTTAAAAAATTATTTATTAATCTATTAATGATATCAATACCAAACTACATGATCATCGTCAACCTTCTCAAATCATTTCCTAACCTAATTAAAACCTAAACCTCATCCTAACTAACAAATTATTCCTCTAAATCTCAGAATAATAATGATTCCAAATCATTTTATAACCATAGTGATGAAACATAATGATTCCAAATTACTTCCAATCCCACTGATGATTAATAATGATTCCAAAGTACTCCCAACCTTGGTGATGTATAATAATGATCACAAATTACTTCCAACCCTACTAATGCATAATAATGATCCAAAATTATTCTTAACCCTTCTAATGAAGAATAATGATCCAAAATATTCCAAACCCTACTGATAAATAATAATGATCCCAAAGTACTCTTAACCATGAGTGCTGACTTATAATGATTCCAAATTACTCCCAACCCTACAAATGAATAATTATGATTCCAAACTACTCCCTACCCTACTGATCAATAATAATGATCCCAAATATTCCCAACCCTACTGATCAATAATAATGATTCCAAATATTCTCAACTCTACTGATCAATAATAATGATCCCAAATATTCCCAACTCTACTGATCAATAATAATGATCCCAAATATTCCCAACTCTACTGATCAATAATAATATTCCCAAATGATCTAAGATTACCTGAACGTAAAGAAGTACGGTGAGTATAATCTCTCCAAGGAAGAGAACAAGGAGAAGGAAGAAAAACTAGAAAAAAATGTTAAAAAAAATTATTTTCGTCCTATCTGTTTCAATTAGTCCTTTAGTCTAAACTTTTGTTTGAAATGTCTGGAATCTTTGCAGCGCTTGATCTTGATCCCTGCGTATATGTCTGGATATTAATGAAGATCAATACTTGATCCCTCCGTGTATGTCTGGATATTAATGAAGATCAATACTTGATCCCTGCGTTTATGTCTGGATATTAATGAAGATCAATACTTAATCCCTCCGTGTATTTCTGGATATTAATGAAGATCAATACTTGATCCCTGCGTATATGTCTGGATATTAATGAAGATCAATGCTTGATTCCTGCAGTGTATGTCTGGATATTAATGAAGATCAATACTTGATCCCTGCAGTGTATGTCTGGATATTAATGAAGATCAATACTTGATCCCTGCAGTGTATGTCTGGATATTAATGAAGATCAATACTTGATCCCTGCAGTGTATGTCTGGATATTAATGAAGATCAATACTTGATCCCTGCGTGTATGTCTGGATATTAATGAAGATCAATACTTGATCCCTGCGTGTCTGTCTGGATATTAATGAAGATCAATACTTGATCCCGAGATTTACAAAACAAAAGCTCTGTTCTGATCTACATTTCTGATCATGATATAAATGTATTCCTAATCATTACAGATCTATTTTTATCGGTATAAAGCTGTATTCCTAATAATTGAAGCAACTATTCCCAATATTTTTATAAAAACATTCCTTATTATTGTGCACTATATTCAGAATCATTATGAAAACAAATTTGTAAGCATGTTTAAATGGATTCCTAATCATTACAGATGTATTTGGGATCAGTACTCTATTCCTAATTAGTATATGATAAATTCCTAATCATTTCATGACGTCATTCCTAATCGTTACAGGTGTATCCTAATCATTGTAAAAGAAAGCCTAACAATTTTATAAATGTTTTCCTAATCAGTAATCAATACAACGGATTCCTGAGAATGATAAACAGAATTCCTAATCATCTTATAAATGCTTTCCTAATCATTACAGTTGTATTTCTAATAATTATTGGACCGAATATCCTAGGGGTTATTGTGGAACTAGCAGAACCATGTGTTAAAGAAGTATCGAATCTTTTTATAATTCTCTCTGCATCAATCGATCAATAGATATCGGATCTCTGTATCTAATCATCCCGATGTCATCAATTTTATCAAGATTATCAAGGTATACATATTTTAAAAGCTATTACTGCCCCCCCCTATTTCTAATAAATACTCCAATAATTTACAGTTCCCCTTTCTCCACCCCTTCACAGTTCACCCAACCCTGTACCCCAGAAAATTAAATTTTTCGTTTGGATAATTTATAAGACTTTCCAACTTTCTTACCGTTCCTTTAGATTTTCTAACTTTCTTGCCGTTCCTTCAAACTTCCTGATTTTCTTACTTTTCCATGGAGATAAGCAGACTCTCATGGACTTTCTAAACGTTCCAAGAATACAAGCAGACTTTCCTCCTTTCTAACTGTTCCAATAGTAAAAGAAGACTTTCTAACTTTCTTGCCATTCTAAGAAGACAGGCAGTCTTTCTTCCTTTTTAACTGTTCCAAAAATACAAGCAGACTTTATTCCATTCTAACTGTTCCTAGAATACAAGCAGACTTTCTAACTTTCTTACCGTTCCAAGAATACAAGCAGACTGCCTTCCTTTCTTACCGTTCCAAGAAGACAAACAGTCTTTCATCCTTTCTAACCGTTCCAAGGAAGCAAAGAGACTTCCTTCTTTTCTTACCCTTCCAACGAGACTTGCAGACTTCCTTTCTTTCTTACCGTTCCAAAAAGACTAGTAGACTGCCTTCCTTTCTTACCGTTTCAAAGAGACAAGCAGACTCCCAGACTTTCCTACCGTTCCAACGAGACAAGCAGACTCCCAGACTTTCCTACCGTTCCAACGAGCAAAGCAGACTCCGAGACTTTCTTACCGTTCCAAGAAGACAAGCAGACTCCCTGACTGCTCCACAGCAGCCCAAGAAACTAGGAATGAGCAGAAATGTTCCAGCTGACAGCAGTATACAGTATACCAGGTATACACTCTAGATAGAAAGATAAATAGATAGAAAGAAAGATAAATAATATCGGTATTATAAATGTTTATATCTGTATTTTTTATATTTAGAAAATATGTTGGTATTTTCAATTAGATGATAAGAAGGTTAATGTTTGAGAGAAATGTGTAAAACTAAAAGATGATTCTTCATTTTATTTCTGAATATCTCAGATTAGTTTAAGTGTTGTCATACCATCTTAAAACTCACTAAGAGGCCTGTAAGTGTAGCCGTGTTTGCTTATTTTCTCTGCAGGAAACAGAAACCGGAAATAGTTTGTTTGTTTATTTCTAGAAACCGGAAACATTTTGTTTGTTTTGTCCTAAGTAAGATTAGTGTTAACATTGGTGAAAGCTTTGCACTCATCTTGTTTGCAAATTTATTTGTTTAAAAAATTATTTGTTTACAAATTTATTTGTTTAAAAATTTATTTGTTTAAAAATTTATTTGTTTACAAATTTTTTTGTTTACAAATTTATTTGTTTACAAATTTATTTGTTTACAAATTTATTTGTTTACAAATTTGTTTACCAATTTTTTGGATGATTCATTCCTGTTTTTTTGTTGTTTGAGTGCTATATTCATGTTTATTTGTCTGTAAGCTATAGTGATTTTGTTTGTCTGTATGCTTTATTCCTGTTTGTTTGTCTGTATGCTATATTCCTTTCTGTTTGTCTGTATGCTATATTCCTGTATGTTTGTCTGTATGCTATATTCCTGTTTGTTTGTCTGTATTCTATATTCCTTTCTGTTTGTCTGTATGCTGTATTCCTGCTTGTTTGTCTGGGTGCTATATTCTTGTTTGTTTGCATGATTTTGATTTTGTTTGTTTATAATTAAGGATGTTTGCTGATTTCGTCCTTGCATGCTACTCTACAGCCTATTTAGATATTAGTCTCCCTATTTAACGTAATATGCAATCTTCAAATATAAGTTTTATCTTAATACGACTGTTATTAGCTCTATTAGTTTGATACTTCTGTCATGAAACTCTGGGTTCTTTACTCTATATAAGATTATTGAACAACCGGAAAAAAAATTTTAGTCGCAAGATTAAATGCAAACACCAGTTTTAGTGTTGTTATAATGTTCCAATGGGAATATCCATAAATTGACATGGCTTCAAGAGAACTTTTACCATAATGACAATTTTTTAAAAAGGGAATTACTTGGATCTCTAGATGATGGTTTAAACTTGGTTGTAAAGTGTATAGTGTGCTTAAGCTAACATACCACGATGGGCAAAATGCTGCAGTTATGCAATTTGGGGGAACCGGAGCAGTTTTGCGCAAACCGAAAGAAAATTTGTGAAAATTTGCTTTCATTGGGAATCCTATCGTTAAAGTGAATTTATTGAATGTTTACGATTCTTTGAATAAGGGATTTCGCAAAAATTTATTTTGAGTAAGAAGATCTGCGTCAAATCACTGAAGTTTTGCTTTTGGTGAAAACTCAAGCTTAGTTAATTTAAGGAATTTTTGCGGATTTTTTGATACGTTAAACTAGAAATTACACTAAACGCAAGTTCGCACAATTAGCAAGAAGATTGAAGCGAATTTGCGCAAATGATTGCTTTAGATAAAAGAAAAAGTATTGAAAACATCAGAGAATTAAACTATAATTCCCCGAGTAAACACTAATCAACCAACCAGAGCTGAAAACTTTAGAATGGTGAATATCGAAATCAAAGCTTGATCTCTTTTTCTTAATCTCCAGTTCTTAATCTCCTCTTGTTATTAATCTGCAGATTAACTAACCGATCAGGGTTAAGGATATCCCATTCTAAAGTTTTTAGCTCAGGGTCATTTTTTATGTGTATTTTGAAATAAGTGAAACTTAACAATTCCTGCAACTGAATTGTTTTTGTGTTTGTGTCAACTAACCTGATTTGATTTATATATTTGTTCATACGCCACCAGCCAGGTGCTGAAAATAAAGACATATAAAAATAATGATTAAAAATGTGTAAACAGAAACTCTTTCTTAAACTTTGAAGCTAACTTTTTATAGATAGATAGATAGATTAATAGAAAATAGATAAATAGTTGATAGATAGATGAATATATAAATAGGGAGATGAATAGAAAAGGGGCAGATTAATAGAAGATAGATAGACAGACAGACAGACAGACAGACACCAAGACAGATCGATAGACAGATAGATATAGATAGATAGATAGATATATGATTATGTATTTAAAGTGCAGGTTGAATAATGTTACTGTAGAACACTATATCACAGATAAAGATACAAGAATAGATAAATGTGAATATAAAGAGAGTAAGAATATAAAAAATGTGCTCTATCTAGTATGTATGCATCAACCATACCCCCATCTAACCCCTCTGGTGTACTGTATTCTGTTCAATGGCCTAGTTTTACATAAAACTGCAGGAGAGAATTAAAATATACAACGTAAAGAAATTAATGATTGAAATATTGTTTATGAATATTCATGAATATTTTATGTTTAAAACTGAGGAGAACGTCGTTAATAATTTGTAGACTTTCATTTTTACAAAAAAAATGTATACGTATTTTATCATATATTCGATTATAAAAGAAAACGGGGTGTATCAAGTTTACTTTAAAGGATGATGAACGAGAAAACCGAATATTCGATTAATGCTTCCATATTTAGCTGTTTATTGGTTACAATGACTGTACAGTGCACACTGCACACTTTACACCATGAGAAAAACATAAGAAAACACACTCCTTTGTTTGCAAATATAATCCCGTTAAAAAGACTTGAAACTGTTAGTCAAATGTGTTTCCATTTTGCAATATAAAATTCAATAAACAAAAGGAAATTTTTAAAAATTATCGGAAAATTCCGATAACGAAAAGAATTCTTTTGAAATCATAGGACAATTCCGACAAAAAAAAGAAATTATATAAGTTAAGGGTGAATTCCGTTTCGAACGAAAGAAACCACTAATAAAATAACTACCAAACACTTGCGTTATTTGTAAATCCCAACCATCCTTAAACTAAAAACTGGATTTCTTAAAAGTAAAGAAGTCACTTTCATAACAAAGTTTAGTTAACGAATGGGTATTAGTAAAAATTACCAGAAAATTCCGTTAACGAGCAGGAAAAACTTTAAGTTATTCGTTAAAATAATTAGTTACTTGTTGAGGATTAAACGTTACGCATACCGAAATTCAACTAACCGTTAAGGAACGGACAGAAAAAAGTTAAAACGTACAGTTTCCTAGTTTCCTACAATGGAAGGCGATAATAGCAATATAATGAAGACGACATTTGTATTAAAGATTTTATTTCGAATTACAAGTTAACATTAAACTGAAAAAAAGATTTTTTAATTGAATATTCTCTTTGTTTCCATATTTTTGTGTATTCATGCTGTTTATAAGCTTGATATAAATCAAAATTGAAATCAAAAGTCGTCTTCATTGTATTGATATAATCGACTACCACCGTAGTTTCCTAGTTTCCTGGTTTCCTAGTTTCTTAGTTTCCTAGTTTCCTAGTTTCCTAGTTTCCTAGTTTCCTAGTTTCCTAGTTTCCTAGTTTTCTAGTTTTCTAGTTTTCTAGTTTTCTAGTTTTCTAGTTTCCTAGTTTCCTAGTTCCTAGTTTCATAGTTTCATAGTTTCATAGTTTCATAGTTTCATAGTCTCATAGTTTAATAGTTTCCTGGTTTCCTAGTTTCCTAGTTTCCTAGTTTCCTAGTCCCACTGCCCAGCGCTATCAATATATCTGTATTGAAGTTTCAAGCTAAACAAGTTGAAATCAGATAAAGCTGTTAATGGGTTTATTATGGGTTTATTATGTACTAAATGAAGATGTTAATCCAGTAAAATCTAGAAACTATGTAATGATTTGAAACTAAAAAACCGACAACATTTTATAAATGTATTGTTTTGAATATATTTGCATAATAATTTGGTAAAGCCTTTACTTTATCCAGGGTTCAACCCTTTGTGTAGAAAATTATAGGGAAGAATTTAAATATTCACCATTCCTACTTTTCTTTTTCCACTTTGTCTGTCTATCTTTCTTCTTTTTACATTTCCATTCTTCTCCTATTCTTGTTTAATTCAAAAATTCTAAAATTTTAACTTTTCCCTTCTTTCTTTTCCTACGTTTACACATCTTTTTAGTTTTTTTCTACTCCTGCTTCCACTTTTGTCTTTCTTATCTTATTGAAGAGCTATTCAGAAGAACAAAAAAGTTTTGAATATACAAAATGCAATAAAATAGATTTATCATAATCTAGCGTAAATAAAAACTTTAGGGGTTACGTAGTAATTTCCGTAGAAACAAACCTTTTCCTTATATCTTGATTAAAGTAAGTACCTTTATTTTGTTAACCTTTCAATTTACATCGTGAGAAATATTTTCTCATTTTAATATCAATTCCCCCTCTCTTCATTCTACAATTCTTTTTTATTTCCTACTTCTTTCAAATAAGATATCCTACCTTAAACAGAAGATTGTAAGTCCAAGAAGAAATACCATAAAGTTCACTGTAAATATTAGATATTTTAAACACGAAAAACACCATTTTACGCCCATTTTGACGAGCCTCTAAACTGTCTGTTTTTCTTCACAATGCTTCCTAATTCAAGTTAATAACTTCCGATTTAATTAGTAACTTGTTCATTTTTCCGGTTGACAGTTCAAATAGTAAATAGATATATCAGTCATATAATTAATAGTAAAACTGTCATGTAGAAGGGTTGTTCACTGTTCTTTAACATTAAGTTCTTGAGTAAAGTGTGAATGGGTAGAAGGAGTGTAGAGCAGACCAATGCAATGCTTTCTGATCAACGGACGGATCTTAACTCAAGTCTTCTCTTCTCACAGTCTTACACACTCCGTATACACTATACAGCACGGGGAAACTTATACACTCCGTATACACTATACAGCACAGAGAAACTTATACACTCCGTATACACTATACAGCACAGGGAAACTTATACACTCCGTATACACTATACAGCACAGGGAAACTTATACACTCCGTATACAATATACAGCACAGGGAAACTTATACACTCCGTATACACTATACAGCACAGGGAAACTTAATTATACACTCTGTATACACTATACAGCACAGGGAAACTTATACACTCTGTATACACTATACAGTACAGGGAAACTTATACACTCCGTATACACTATACAGCACAGGGAAACTTATACACTCCGTATACACTATACAACACAGGGAAACTTATACACTCTGTATACACTATACAGCACAGGGAAACTTATACACTCTGTATACACTATACAGCACAGGGAAACTTATACACTCTGTATACACTATACAGCACAGGGAAACTTATACACTCCGTATACACTATACAGCACAGGGAAACTTATACACTCCGTATACACTATACAACACAGGGAAACTTATACAATCCGTATACACATACAGCACAGGGAAACTTATACACCCTGTATACACTATACAGCACAGGGAAACTTATACAATCCGTATACACTATACAGCACAGGGAACTTATACACTCCGTATACACTATACAGCACAGGGAAACTTATATACTCCGTATACACTATTCAGCACAGGGAAACTTATACACTCCGTATACAATATACAGCACAGGGAAACTTATACACTCCGTATACACTATACAGCACAGGGAAACTTATACACCCTGTATACACAATACAGCACAGAGAAACTTATACACTCCGTATACACTATACACAGGGAAACTTATACACTCCGTATACACTATATCACTCTCTCCCACATTCTTTATTTCCCTCTCTTCCACATTCTTTATATCCCTCTCACCCTGCTTTCATATCCCTCTATCCCTCTATGAAAAGTTCAAGAGAATGAATTAATGAAAAGATAGCATCTATAACTGAGTGAATGTGTATGAATGAATGAAAAGCTAGTATCTATATTTGAGTGACTGTGTATGAATGCATGAAAAGCTAGTATCTATAATTGAGTATATGAGTGTGAATGAATGAAAAGCTAGTATCTATTATTGAGTGAATGTTTGTGAATGAATGAAAAGCTAGTATCTGTAATTGAGTATATGTTTGTGAATGAATGAAAAGCTAGTATCTATAATTGAGTGAATGTGTGTGAATGGGCGAGAGCAATGATGAAAAGATAACAAAGCATTGGATTCATATGTTCAGGTCGTTAAATATCTATACACACTGCACACTAAACACATTATACAATATACATCTCCAGACATTTTATCAATAATATTCAATAAACTTGGGCTTTGGATCATGTCGTTTCAACAAATTGTATGCCATAAATATTGACTGTTTGCCAAAAGAATTGACCTTACTCTTTTCCAGTTAATACAAGATCCGTCTTAAAGAATTATATATTATTTTATGATAAAAATAAGTGCAAGATATTGAAAACTCTCCATCAACGATCAACATTGATTTTTTTATTCAAAAGGAATATTTTTAAGGGACATTAAGAGTAATTTCAATTGACCCTCCACACAAACAGGGGAATGCTAGATTAGAGTGAATAAAGTGTGGAGTGTAGAGTGTAGACTGTTGAGTGCAGCGTGTAGAATTTATAGTGTGTAGAGCGTAGCGTACAGAATGTAGAGTAAAGATAGTGTAGAGGGTAGAATGTAGAATGTAGAGTGAAGAGAGTGTATATTATAGAATGTTCAGTATGGAGTTTAGACTGTTGATTGTTGAGTGTAAATTGTAGAGTGTTGAGTGTAAAGTGTAGAGTGTAGAAACTGTATAGTGTAGAATGTAGAGTGTATAGGGTAGATTGTAGAAACTGTTTAATGTAGAGTGTAGAATGTAGAGTGTAGAAACTGCATAATGTAGAATGTAGAATGTAGAGTGTAGAGTGTAGAAACTGCATAATGTAGAATGTAGAATGTAGAGTGTAGAGTGTAGAAACTGCATAATGTAGAATGTAGAATGTAGAGTGTAGAGTGTAGAAACTGCATAATGTAGAATGTAGAATGTAGAGTGTAGAGTGTAGAAACTGCATAATGTAGAATGTAGAATGTAGAGTGTAGAGTGTAGAAACTGCATAATGTAGAATGTNTCCTGAGAAGGAAACTTTAGGTAGAGAAAATGGACAAAACTGGGGATATACGTTTATCCTTTTCTAAAAAAAATTGAAGCCCTTAATTAAAATCTGTTTTAGATATAGCATAATATAATCCTAGAAATAGGAACATCAACAATACTAAGTTTCAGAAATAAGAAGGTTGGGTTTAGGTCAAAAGACTGAAACTCTGTGATGTAAAAGTTCACTGTACATTGAAAGTTTAAAGCTAAATCCGAAAAAAATTTTCCAATTTTTTAAAACAAAACGTTAAAGAAGATTAAAGGGTAATGAATTGTAGAAATGGAAAACTCTAAATTCACCTAAAAAAAACTCCTATTTCTCCATCAGTAATACTGGTTTTTCTATCGCTGTGAATAGTTTACTGCATTTTTAAAGAAAAGTAACTTAAAAACTTTATCTGCAGTCCAATTGATTTAGTTTTACATATTTAGTTTTTAAGAATCTTAAATATTAAATACTCGGTGCTTAAAGTGATTTAGAAGCTTATGTTTGTATTAATATGGCTTCATTTATAAATATTTCTTTAAGTTTTTTCATAAGAAAAGATAGAACGGCTGCATTTTTCTTATCAAAACTTGAGAATATATAATCCGGTTTTTACATACTATACCATTAGTGATATTTTAAAGGGACAGACCGGCTATGTATGGTAGTTGAACTTAGTATGCAGTGTTGTGGACAAATTCTTTAGGATTCATTTGAGACATATAAAACTTTTAGAGATCTGTAAATCCTGAGTTTGAGCGCAAAGTCGACGTTCAAAATCGTACTTTTGGGTGGATACGTTTTGAGAGTGTTTTTTTTCTTTTACTTATTAAATAACGACGACGAAAAATAAAGTAAAAATTATTAGATGTTTAGGAACATATTTCTCAAAACTTTGTCAATAAATCAATGGTAGAATCAATTATTTCGTTTTCATCATTATGTTGCATTTCTGATTTTCTTTTTATTTAATTTATTCGCAAATTTCTTCAAATTCTTTGTTTGTTTATGCATTATACTATCCGAAGACCATGCTGCCACAGAATTTCTTCTGGAGGGTTTGGTTAGGCTTAGGATTTACAACCCTGTGGCCGAATTTAAAGAATTTGAGCGGCGGTTTAAATATGGTTGGTTCCACTTAAAATTGTATCAAATGTTTCAAGATTTAAGCCGGCGCTTAATTTAAACCGGGTTTTGGCGGATTTAAACCGCTGCTTAAATTCTTTAAATTCCATCTCTGGTCGATCAAGAACTTCAGCTCCTTGATACCAGCAACAAAAGCCCTAACCAGCTATCACAATTAAACCACTTTCCAGGATAATTCATTTTATATAATTTAAATTCTCAGTTAAAATATACCTAAAATAGCCATCCTAGAGTTTGGTGATAAGAAATTAATGATTTTAATTAACAATATTATCCTTCTTTACATTGGTTTATTTGTACGAAAATTGTAAAACCACTAAATAGAAATAATGTAATAAAAATTTTAAAAAAATATAAACTACAATCAAAAATTGTTTAAAAGGAATAAGATCATAAGGAAATTCAAAAAACAAATTTTAAAAATCTACAATTAAAACAAACAAAATGGGATTTTTATTAAAAACTTTTTGAGGGCGGACCAGCCGCCTTCTTTGAGAATGATGTAAATGTCGTCTTTTCAATAATAATTCCAGAAAATCTTCAGAAAATCTTTGTGAATAATGAGAAACCACAATAATGAGAAAATAGATAATAATTTATAACAAGATTACTTATTTTTAATGATAAGATAAATTTTTATTTTCTCAACTTTTTCCTAAACACCTAATTAGTGATCTGTAGAACTTTTTTTACATTTTTTGTCGTCGTTATTTAATGATTTAAAGAAAAAACTCTGAAAACGTATCCATCCAAAAGTACAATTTTGAACGTCGACTTTGCGCTCAAACTCAGGATTTACAAGTTCTTAAAAAGTTGTATATGTCTCAAATGAATCCTAAAGAATTCGTCCACTACACTGCATACTCAGTTTAATAGCCGCGGTCTGTCCCTTTAAATATAAAAAATATGTTGGTTGGGTGATAAAATATTTAATTTATATCTCTCTTTAATGTATTATAAATATGGTATATTCAAAGAGAATAGAATATATATTAGAGTGGAATTTAGAAATCCCTTGGTATGAATTTTGGCAGTCCCTTTCAGCCTGAAAGGGAGTTCAAAGTGTACAAATCATGTAAATGTACACAAATTATATGCAGTAGAGTACATTAACACAATATGTTTCCTAGACTATCCATTTCAATTTCGAATTTTTTAAACTTTATAAAATGAATTAGGTGAATTAAAAACATCATTTGATTTATAGTTATAACAGAAATTCATCGTTTCTAAAGTGAAAGGCATAGAGTCTATGTGAAATGATCATTGGTCAATTATGAAACCAGCCTATTTCATAATTTGGGTTTCTTTTAATATTAATTTTAGATTTCTATAAAATGATGTTCCAGGGCCCAAAGTACACCTGCAGTATGGAAACATTACAACAAAATGGCCGTTTTACACTTTTTTTCTAGTAAATTCCACTCTAATATATATTCTATTCTCTTTGGGTATATTTCTATGAATCAGACGAATTATTTTTTCAAGGCTTGGAATTGGATGACTGTGTGACATGGCACGACAAATTACATTTCCTAGTAAAATAAATATATTTTGTTCAGTTAAAAGTAACTCTTTATTCACTAAAACTTAATTAAAAATTAAAAAAAAAACTCTATTAAATATGAATTCTAATAATTCTTCATAAAAAATCCTTACTTTTACAGTTATAGGATTCATAGGTTCAGGCCAACAGAGACTCAAAGTCCCAGAATTTTAATTAGCGACAAATATTAATAATTATTAACTTTACAAAATTTCCTACCTTCTTTTATCTTGCAGATCTAAGTACACTAATTATATAAAGTTGAAAAAGAAGTATATATTTGTGTTCTTAAAGTTTAAAAGAATATTATATTTCATCCACTATTTACTATAGTTACTACTATTAAACTCTATTTATGTAGTATAAAGCAAATTAATAATAATTTCAATGATGGTAGACAATAATATATACAACAAGAATAAAAACAATACGCTGTTACATCAAACCAATGACTCTCTATATAAAATCTACGTTTAGTCTGCCTAAAATGTCACTCCGTAGCACTTGAAAAAACATATTTGACAGCATTTGAAAATTTTCATTCAAGATTATTGGCTATTTTTCATACAAATTCAGGTTTATTTTAACAAAAGATCCTTTTATCCAACAAATGATATAATAATGATCGAAATACATTTTAATATTTTCAATCTGTGTTCACTTTTAGCACAAAACATTTACTATTGTGTTAAATAACTAAGGTTTTAATGTTGATTGTTGAACGCTCAAGCAACCAAAATAACCAATGACGTAAAATACAGCTGTACACAAAAGTTGGATAAATTTCCTACTGCATCATCTTTATATAGAGCTTTGCATCAAATAAGAAAATTATACCAACTTTTAAAGATTTCAGGCATCATTGAGAGTTTATGCGTTTGCGTAGTAACGTGTCACTATTAACTGGCGAAGATTTTGTACCCTGCAACCGACTTACTTAGTGTACATAAACATTCAAGGTACGCTGTCACAGATCGTTTGAAAAATCTATTCATTACGCTTCGTTACAAATCACTGTCAAACATTATAAATAGCACTAAGGCCCTGTCACTGGAAACTTCGGGTCATTTCAAGTACAGGGCCGACTTTGAACCTGTACAGACCATTTAAGGCAAAATCAGGACAGAACACCAACTGAACAATCCTGTTTTTGTGAAATATATGTGTTGTCGAACAATCGGCGTAGCACATCGACACGGTCGAACTTTATACCTTGGCACCGTCGCACATAATGCATAGCCGGTAGCACTTCAAAAAATTATGCATAGCATGTCGAAATAGCTTAATTTTATGCGTAGCACGTCGACACTGTCGAAATCATCTGTCGCACCATCCTACACAAGAAAATGCGGCATTGTACCAAATTCTCTCTAAATAAATGGAAACATTAAACATTTAATTTTGGTTTTTTAATTTTTGCCTTAAAAATAAAAGACTGTGAGCTCACTCCAAAAGTCATGTTTTAAATTTTTAATCGGCATAACCAAAGTTTTTGATAATTCTGATTTTTAAATTATTTTGGAAAAAGAAAACTGTTCAGTCTTGGACAGCACAATCTCCAGTGTAAATTATACAGGATGTACCAAAATATGACAACTTTTGTAAAAAAAAAAAACAGTTTATATTTCCACAAAAATAGTTTACCATTTCTAACTTGTAAAAATTCTGTATTTTTCTGAAAAATAACAAAATATGAAAAAGAATATAAATTTAATGTTTCTATTCCTTAAGAAACAGGGTTGACCAGGTCCATCCTCGAATACAAACTCCTCACTATCAGTATAAAATTATTAATTTTCTAAGATGTAAAAAAAGGTTATTTTACAATTTATAATTTTTCTCTGTCAGAATTTTAATAATTTATACGATCCTTGGATTGGTGAACGTATTGGGAGAAAATGGTACTATTGTTGCTCCTGGTACCTCCTAGTAAACATTATTGTATTGTATTGTATTGTATTGTAATGTATCGTATTGTATTGTATTGTATTGTATTGTATTGTATTGTATTGTATTGTATTGTATTGTATTGTATTGTATTGTATTGTATTGTTTGTATTGTATTGTATTGTATTGTATTGTATTGTATTGTATTGTATTGTATTGTATTGCATTGTATTGTATTGTATTGTATTTTATTGTATTGTATTGTATTGCATTGTATTGTATTGTATTGTTTGTATCGTATTGTATTGTATTGTATTGTATTGTATTGTATTGTATTGTATTGTATTGCATTGTATTGTATTGTATTGTATTTTATTGTATTGTATTGTATTGCATTGTATTGTATTGTATTGTATTGTATTGTAATTTATTGTATTGTATCGTATTGTATTGTATTGTATCGTATTTTTGTAAACCGTTATCTTCCTTTGAACATCAATATTTTTAGGTTAGATTCAATCTTCTCAATAATTTAATTTTGATCTGGTGCTCTTACCACTACTATCGGTTCTGGTATCTCAGAGGAGGATTGTACTTGATTATCAGAAATACTTGATAATGGAGGAATGCTATTGGTGTTCGGAACAAAAGACAGAATATTGCCATTATCTTGGACACCAGACAGAGAGATGTCTTTGTTCTGGACACCAGACGGAGCAATAATGCTGTTCTGGATACCAGATTGAGATAGACCGTTGTTTTGGCCACCAGACAAAGTGTTACCATTGTTCTGAACACCAGAAATAGAGCTGCCAATGTTCTGGCCACCAGACGGAATGTTGCCATTGTTCTGAAGAGCCGGCAAAATGTTGCCATTGTTATTGTTATTGATACCAGAAAAAGGAATGCTATTGTCCGGGATACCAGACGGAACATCATTGGTCTGAAAACCAGACGGAATGCCATTGTTCTGAACACCAGATGGAATATTTCCATTGTTATTAACAGCAGAGGGAATATTGTTCTGAGGACCAGACAAAGATAAACCATTATTAAGACGGTTTGGTGGATTTCTTATATTCTGCGGGTTTAATCTGCATTCATTGGTAAATATTGAAATAGAACAAACATAAAATAAAAATAATGTTAAAACCAGTAAAGTATACTTTCACTTGAAAACTACAAATAATTTCCTGAATAAAGTTGTAACATTTTATCACTTGCCATTATTCAAGTATTATTATAAATTTGGTTCACCGATATAGGGTCAAACGACCAACGGTCAAAAACGCGACAAAGGGTAAAATAACAATGGGTCAAAATGAAAAAAAAAATTTATGTATTAATTCAGGGTTAGGTTAGGTTAAGACAATTTCTGGGCTGAGCACTGCGGCTAGGACAGGTTAGTGGGCCAAGCGCTGCGGCTATAAGTTCAAATGAACATAAAACATAACTTAAAAATATGTATTATTTCAGGGTTAGGTTAGGTAAAGACAATATCTGGGTCGAGTGCTAGAAATAGTTTGAAATTAACCAAACATAGACTAAGTGAAATTTTGCCCGTTTGCGCACTTTTTGACCCTATTTCGTTTAACTCTCCGTTTGTCGTTTGACCTTAGGTCGCTTTTACCCTATGTCCTTTGATCATATGGCATTTGACCTTCGGTTGTTTGACACTATTATAAAAGAAATACTATAAGATAAAAAATAGTCATTCATAAGATACTTCTATATCACATTGTAAAAACACTTAACTAGTTTCATTTTCTGTCTTTTATAAAGCAAAACAAAAACAAAGATAAATCCAAAACAGGGGGGGGGGGGATGTTTAGATAATTAACACATTATCCTTTTTTGTTAATTTAATTTTCTATATTCAATATTTTCCTAACTGCTGAGGTCTGCCGAAAAGTTCGCGTGTTTTTTAGCTCCTTCTAAAAATGACATTTAAAGAAATCAGAGATGGAATTTAAAGAATTTGAGCCACGGTTTAAATCCGCCAAAATCCGGTATTCAGCGCCAGCTTAAATCTTGAAACTTTTGATACAATTTAAAGTGGAACCAACAATATTTAAACCGCCGCTGAAATTCTTTAAATTCGGCCACATGATTCGAAATATCCAGAAAATTTTATTTTCCAAGTCGGTTGTCTTTTAGATTCTAGGTTGAATAATTACTTATAGGTTAATTTAAAAAGAAAAGCAAAATTATACAATTTTTTTTTGCTGTTGACTTTTAAATGTTTTTTTTTGATTGACTTTTTGTCCATAAACATTTTTGGCCTGTAATTCGTCAGCTAATTCAAAACAATAAAGACGATTTTCGCATTTTTTTTTCAAACAGCAATTAACACATAAACATGGGAAACAACCCGAAGCATGTTAATCAACAGCTTCTCTTTACTCATTGGGAAACTTAAATATAAAAGTCGTCTTCGTTGTTTTGGTAAAATGCCGACTACTGTATATTAATGAACAAATTCTAAATATTCTAAAAAACCTTAGTTTGTCCTCTCAGAGAAGGTCTGAATCTCGGAGGATGAAAAATAGGATTGGAGGCTGGTAATATCGTGTTGGAGGGAGGAGGTAGAAGCCTTGTATTCGGAGGCTTAAACTGTCTGAGAAATAATTAAAGACAGATATTAATGAATGATTAATAATACATTTCTTTCAATATATTTTCTAGAATGTATTATTTTCAGAATATTTTCCAGGATGTTTCCAATTTCAGATGAAAATGCGAACAATACTTTAATGAGTATTAAAATTGAAAAGATAAAAAATATTACGTATACCTGACTTGAAAATTATCTTTTCCATCTCTCACTCCTCCTCCACCCACTCTTACTTTTGCTGGTAAGTCCCAGGTAGTGTGTCTAAAACTAGATTCCTCTGAAATAAGAATTAGGATATCATCTATCTATATAATAAAACAAAACATTCGTATATATGTCACCGATAGTCGGCCAAACGGCTGGACCGATTGGGCTGACATTTTTTGTGGACACTCATGGGTTGTTTTAAGCTAAGTAAAAACGAAATTATTTAAAAATTTGAAGTTTTTTTTCTAATTTTTTTTCTACGATTAACGCCGGGCCCTTCAGCTAGTTGTTTTTAAAATTGAAACCCTTTAAACTGTTGAAAAGGGAAGACGACAAAAAAAGCATTCTTTTGTTTGATGTTTATGTTTGATGTTTATGTTTGATGTTTATGTTTGATGTTTATGTTTGATGTTTATGTTTGATGTTTATGTTTGATGTTTATGTTTGATGTTTATGTTTGATGTTTATGTTTGATGTTTATGTTTGATGTTTATGTTTGATGTTTATGTTTGATGTTTATGTTTGATGTTTATGTTTGATGTTTATGTTTGATGTTTATGTTTGGCGCAAAACTGTGTTACATATTGCATAGAGAAAACAACTTAAAAATCTTAAAATGCTTAAAAATCGTAATAATGAATACTTATTTAAGTTACTATCATGTTTATTATTTCAAACTATTTCTGAAAGCGGCCCCAATTTGATGCCATGGAAAAAATCGCCTATTTCCAAGATCCATCAGAGCTGTTCCAACATGGGCCAGCATTTCTGCAACCTATCTTTTTAGGTTTCTTTTCATATAGTTCTGGGTATAGGGCTGCATAGTGCATTTATACCTTAGATTTCAGAAAGCTAAGGGAGTTCAGATAGATGTAAATGATTTTTCATGTATCTTCAGCAATATTTGCCAGCTAAAGTTAACAGAGATTTTTTCGAAAATTCGACATAGTTTTACAACAAATGGAAAGATCGGACGACTTAATCTTACTTTGACGACCTCTTCCAAAATTAAAAACTATTTAAGGGGCTAAAAAATCCTAATCCCTGTATTTTTGGGGTCACCCTGAACATATTCATGTTGGAATATAAGGCAAGTAGTTTTAACGGTAATTTGAAAATCAACTTATAAAGTAAAATGGGTCTGTGTTTTTACTGCACAATTTCTCGGTTTCATGTTTGTTGGACTGTTTAAAATCATAACTTGAGAAGAAAAGTTTGCCACAAACTCTGATTTTCTAATCACTATATCTATAGAACCTAATCTTGCACACCTTAGATATTTCAAAATATGAATTCTTTAAATCAAATAATCTGAGTTTAAAATATCAAAGGTTTACAACATCGGGTTCTAAAGATATTTGATTTTGTTCCAAAGACTCAATTCCTTTAAGTGTAATACTGATTTTTCTGTGTCTTAAAATACGACATTTTGAGAAATCTTGAATTCAAATATAAATATAGAAGGATTCCAACAATGCCCTAAATACGTTAGGTAAAAAGTTCTCCTATCTAGTATGGAGCAAATGTCCAAAATTAGAAAGAAAGTTCTTAAATTTAGAATGTATGTACTTTTGAAAACTTAGATTTTAATAAAAAGCTGCAGTTTTTTTAATGTTCTAACGTTTAAAATGTTGATTATGAAATTAAGTTAAATAATATAGATAAAAAAGTAAAATGGTGTTGTGTTACCTTGTAAATTTTGAACAGGAAGAAAAAAACTGCACAGGAAAAAATATATCCGCATTTTTGTACAACTGTAATATTTTATCTTATTCGCCTTTATTTGATTTTTTCGTATTTTTTCACTTTTGTGCCATGAAACGTTTTATTATGTTTATATTTAATGTATAATATATAATATAATTATATACATATTTTATATTTAATGTATACTTTATAATAAAATAATATATATATTGTATATTTAATGTATAATATATAATGGCATTTGACCTTCGGTTGTTTGACACTATTATAAAAGAAATACTATAAGATAAAAAATAGTCATTCATAAGATACTTCTATATCACATTGTA